GGGTTTAGGGTTTGAGGTTTAGGGACATCGGCGCTCAGTTTTCTTGGGATGTAGTGGTTTAGGCTTTCAGTGGTCCGGGGTTGAGGCTTGAGCAGGACAATGATGTTGAGGATGTCGGGGGAGCAGCATGGGCCATTCCGCCATGAAAGAGGTCTTGGGGCATTTCACCCAGAGCCCTTGGGGAACCCACCCAGAAACCCACCCCTGCACCCTAAAGCCTGAAAGATAAGCTCAGGAGCCCTCCCGACCCCCGAACGGGGAATGAGCCTCCAAGCTCCAAGTCTTAAAAAACCCTCAGCTCGGTGGAGGTGCTAGTTTTTCGGGGCGAAGGTTTCGGATAGAGGTTGGGAGTCTCGGGGTGTTGGGCGAAGAGGTGCCCCCTCCCCCGTGACAAGACTGTACGGGTAAAGCTCCAAGCGAACCTCAGAAAATGAATAAGAAGCACGGAGGTTTTGGAGCCCTGAGCTCATATCAGCGATGAAAGCTCGATTGAAAGCACCATCATGAGGTGGAATCTACGTCGCCAGCCTCGTCATGACGGAAGGGGTCTGGCGGAAGTGCCCCAATCCAGAGACGGAGTTGCACCCTGGCTTATGACAACAAGAGTAATATGAATATAAGTGCAACTGCGTTAACTCTATTGACAACGACAGATAAGAATCGCTAAACTCAGCATGGTAATGGCAGCAAAAAGCTCCATGTACATTCATCTTGGTTATGTACAAAAGATTGTCGTAATCATAAGAACCACTTGAATTATAGTCAGAATGACACCAATAATAATCCAGAAGCAGGTTTTGAAACCGTGCAGTTGGGCAGGGCTGTCTCGGGCAGGGCTGTCTCTTGTAGGGTTGACGATTGACTGGTAGGGCTAGTTTGTCTTTTCTAGTCTAGGGTTTTGAAGGATGATGGGAAGTTGCAAATCGGGCTAGCAGTACGGTATCTGGAAGAGCCTGCTTGCAACAACCCGTAAGCTTCCCTCCAGCCAGCAATAGGGCTAAGGCCACTAGTATAGGGTCGGAATGTTTAGTGACAGCATCCCCTTGTAGAGCCGATGTAACTATATTCTAATTTATCCCCACAGCCTTATTCCAGTTATTAAGGCCTCTACTTGGGTTTCTGGCATAAAGAGTGGCGCATGCCGCTCGGAAACCGGCTGTTTAGCGGGTGCTTCATCCAACAGGACTCCTCATGCTTGCTTGGGTGTGTCACTCTACTTTCTTGGTTCGTCACCAAAAGATGAGAATGATGAGAGTTCAAAACGGCGCATGCTTCCTTAAAGCCGTCCTGTGTCGAGAGGAATCCTCTTCCCATCTCCTTATGTACCGTAAGGTAATGCCAAAAAGAAGCCCTAAGTGCAACGATGCCGGGTCGTAAGTTAGTTCGAGAGCGTAGTGGCCGCTCGAGGAAAGCCGTTTTAAAGGGTTGATGGTGCTACGGCCTGAATGGCTTCGGGGTTGAGACTCCGAGGGCTTAGTTAGAGTAACTCCGACTTTATGTGCCCACGATTGTGTTTGCTGTTGTTTCAAGTTGGTGGCATGTCTGTCCTGGCTTTGGGGGTTGTAAAGACAGGAAGACTTAATTATACAGCCAAAACATGTAGGAATCTCGAAGCAATACGCCCAACCTGCCGGGGCTCACCCAAAGCCCCAATCCCTAACCCTAAACCCCTAAACTCCCAAGCCCCTAAACCCTAAACCCCTAAACCCCTGAACCCCGAAGCCCTAACCATGTTGGCTTTTGTGCCAGGTCCCTGAGGTCAGGGTCCCAAACTCCCCAAAACAGTAGGTTACTGCGTGACTTCATAGTTGTATGGCATAACCATGAGTAGCCGTTACAATTTGTAGGAGAAACACGTCAATTTTTCCCTTGACTTCTGGTGGAACCTCCCCGAGCATCAAACCCAACTTACGGAGCATTAGGGTATGGGGTTCATTTCAGATCCTTAGATGGCATCGCGAACCTGTCGTTTCGCATCATGGCACAAAGCAGACCACCCAACACGACAAACTCTTCTCAAGATTTACCAGGCTTGAGCCAGCTGGTACGGGGTTGTACGGATTTGCGGAGTAGGCGTTAGGGCGTGATGCTTGACAAGGCTGTGCCACAAGTTCGGCACACTCTTCGACTCCATGATCACGTTCTTTCAGTGCCTTTGCCCTGCAAGAAATTAGCCGTGAAGCCCAAACCCTGAAACCCACGCGCTCAACCCTGAGCCCTAAATCCTAAACCCGAAGCCCTAATTAAAACCCTTAGCCAAACTGCAACAATGAGGGTAATAAAGGTCAGTCCCAGGCTTTGGCCCCCCTGAGAGTCGCTCTCGCTCTGAAAGCGTCTGAGAGCTCTTGGCATGATCCGAGATGCAGAGCCACGGTTTGGGGGTTTAGGGTCTAGGAAGAGTGTTCGGGCTCTTGGGCTCGCGGTTTACATCGCAGTGTTTCGGGATCAGGGATGATCGGATTCGAGATTGGGAGAGCTCGACGGCTCAAAGATCTCCGTCAAGCCATCAGCAACAAGCGGTTTAGGGTTTAGGGGTTTAGGGTTTAGGGTTTAAGGTAAGATCTCCATCAAGCCATCAGGAACAAGCCCTGCAGCAATCCAGACCGAACAACTGATGCACCCTGAAATGCCAAATTTACAGCCAGATTGATGGGGGTTGTATAGGAGGCTCTACAAGTAGTCTAAACGCGTTCTACAAGGGAACCTTCAATCCTCAACTGTAAGTGAAGACCGTGTAGATGGAATTCTATAAACCCTACACAAACCCTAAACCGTGTACCCTACACCCCTGAGCCCCAAACCCTAAACCCTAAACCCTAAACCCCAAAAACAAAAGCCCTAAACTCCTGAACCCCGAGGCCACATCTGCTGTAGGCTTCGGACCCGGCTGTCATAGAGCAAGATCCCTAACAGGAGGACACCCTCTGTTTCTGTCAGAGAGGCTGCCTCAACTGTAAATGCTGTATGTGCCTTTGCCTCCAGTTCACTGCTGTAGCATGACATGTGTGCGTTCCTGCAGGCGCGCCTTTGGCTGAAACTTAAGCTACTGTGGTAGAAGCTTTTCCTGAGAAAGCTGTGCTTCACGAGCCATAGGCTTTACCTGCAGTCTGGAACAGACAGTGAAGAGCGACCGAGACGGACGCTGCCCAAAAGACCTGCGCCTTCCAGTTGCTTTCTTCAGAGCGGTGCGGGTGAAGCATTGGCTTGAGCGGGGAGGCTGCCAGCACACTTGTGTTGGTAGCGGAGCTCGAACCAGTGGAGTTGGGAGAGCTCTTTGGTTGCTGGCTGGCCTCGGCTATCTTTCGGCAAGCAAGAGTGCAGAGCTGTTTTCCTGAAGGAAGGAAGTGAAGGCACGAGTTCTTTGCTGCGACCCGGGACGATGGCTTCTGGCGATGCTCCTGACAACCGAATTCGATGCGCATGGGATGGCGACCCGGCAGCTTATCCAGACTTCATGCGGCGGGTGCGACTCGCCTTTGAGCGCACGCCGCGCAAGAAGCGCCACCTCCTAGGACCGGAGGTCGTCGCTCAATTGAGCGGCAAGGCATGGATAGTGACTCAGGACCTGGATCATCGGCTGTTGGTTCGGAGGAACGGCGTCATATACCTTTTAGAGTACCTCCACGAACGTCTTGGTAGAACTCCGGTACCAGACGTAGGTACCCGCCTTGAAAATCTTATCCTTCGAATCCGTCGCCCAAGCGGACAAAGCATGTCAACATGGAGCAGTCAGTTGCGCTACCACTACCGACAACTTCAAGTTGCGCTAGGGCGAGTTCGTAAGGAACAGGATCGGAAGGATGACGCCTCGACCGCTTCTCCATCGACCTCGCGGCCACCACGATCCTCGCCTCCATCTACGAGTTCTCCGAGGCGAGCCAGCCGCGAGACTCAGGAAGAACCTCAAGGTGAAGATGATGCTGATGAAGGTGCCACTGTTGGTCCCCCAGAAGATGATCGTGATGAGCTTCTGGCGGATGAGCCGGAAGGTCGGGAATCCCCGACCTGGAGGCGTTCGCGCCGCAAGGCCAAAGACCGGGAATCAGACTCGGATGATTCCACCCACGCCCTCGCCGACATGGCCTTGTGGGAGCGCTATGATGAGTCGCTTCCGGACGTGTTGCCCAGTGAGGTGCTTGGATGGCTATTGCTACGTCGTGCTGGCATCAGCCACCAGGCTTCGCTTGCCGTGCAGTCTGCGGCTGCCAACTCCCTTCGATTGGACGACATCGAGAAGTCTTTGAGGGCCATGGAGGATGAGATCCTAGGCCAGGAGCTACGACCTCGAGGAGGACTCGGACCAGGAGGGAAGGGACATGGCCGCCACCGCACTTACTGGGTGGAGGAAAGTGGCGAATGGGCTATGTGGCTTGGTGAGAACGGTGAGCTGGATGAGCTCTTCGATGGCGGCGAGGTCCACTACGTCGGCAAGAAACTGCCCTCCCAGGTCCATCCAGAGCCCTACGTGCCCCAGGACTACTATGAGGACTGGAACTACTATAGCTCTGGTTGGGACCCGTACTACGAAGAGTGGGAGACCGAGGACTATGCCTCATCGTGGTGGTATGAGGACCTCCCGCCGGAGCAGCACAAGGAGCTGGAGGAGGCTTACGCTCTCCTGGATCAGAAAGCCCGGAACTTCGTCGAAGCTCGGCAGGCCGTGAAGGCCCGCAACCTTTCCCGCGGCTTCTACCCGTATGCTCCCTCGACTAAGGGAGGTTCCTTCAAGGGCAAGAAAGGAAAGGGCAAAGGGAAGCCAAAGGGAAAAGGCTATGGCGGTCAAGCCTCATCTTCGGCGACTCCACCCGTTATGGCTGCTTCCTCGCTGGGCGGCCAGACTGACGATGGGTCTGGCTTCCTGGGTGCTGCTGTGGGTGATGCTGGCTACACGGGATGCTTCATCTGCGGCAACAAGAACCATGACTTCCGGCACTGCCCCAAACGTCAGGGCAAGGGGAGCGCCAAAGGGGCAGTCCACTTTGCCTCCGAGGTGGGTACTATCTACCAGGTGACGGAGGCTCCTACTTCTTCGGCTACCTCGGCAACGGCCTTTGCCATTGAGGAGCAGTGCCAGGACGACGAGATCTTCTCCTCTGAGGCTGAGGACCTTTCCGGCTATGCGGTGTTGGACTCCGGGGCTACCGAGACGGTGGCTTCACTACCAGCCTTGGAGGCCTTGATGGGTGTGCGGAGAAGCATGGGTACGTCTTTGTCTGCTTCGTCGTTTCAGGTTCTTGACCATCCCCCAAAGCGGTTCAAGTTTGGCAACGGAGAGTTTGCAGCATCAGCCTCGTTCGTGTTGCTTCCCCAGCAGATAGGAGACCATCATGTGGACTTGGGAGTGTACACGTTGGATGTGGTTGGCGTCCCCGTCCTCATAGGCATTAAAACCATGATGCGACTTCATGCCATAGTGGACTTTGCTCATTGTCGAGCTGTGTTTGCCGCTGTGGATGCAGGCTTGGTTGTTCCCTTGAAGCGCAGCCGGTCGGGTCATCTTCTTGTGAGTTTGAAGGACAATTGGCTGCAGCAGGGTCACCGAATGGATGCAAGGACCGTCCAACCAGAGGCCTCTCCGTTTGTGTCAAAAGAGGGTCCGGCTAGCAGCTTCATGGTGCAGGGGACCGCCGCAGAGCATGTTGATCCGGTAGGTGAAGATCAGGAAGCAGTTCATGCAGCCAGTGCCAATCAGGTAGGAGAACATGCTGTTGATGATTGTGAGCCTGCTCTTCCAGTAAGTGAACCTCTTGAGACCGATTGCCAGGGTTGCGTGCTGACTTCTACTACCTCCTTGCAGCCTTCAGCAGTTCAAGCTGTAGACCCTATGCGCTCCCTGGCAGTGCTGACTGGGTTGATTGCCCTACATGGCCAAGGCTCCTTCGGCATCGAAGCAGCGTGGACCCAAGAAGCAGGCGGACCCGCTGGACGAGGAGCGATCAGAGGGTCCAGATCCGCGGGACCCTCGAGCCAAGGGCAGCCCTTGCTACGGCAACCATCGTGTTGCCAAGGCCTACAAGGGAAGTGTCAGTGGAGCAAATCAATTCGGAAGCTGGACGGGTTGCGAGGTTTGCAAGATCCGGCTCAGCTATACCCCGCGGATGGGGTGTCATGGAATCCACCGGAAGAGCGCACCTTTGGCACGCGACGTGCAGGAGATCCACAAGACCCTTCCTCCCGATGTGGAGGCTTACCCAACGAACCGGGAGATCTCGCTGACGGCCGCGGAGAACAGCGCTTTGGCTCGACTGGAATCCCTTCGACGTCTTCGCAAGGGAAGTGGCAAGGCGTCCATTACGGCGGACGAGACTGCCAACAAGACCAAGGATCCCTCGAAGACCGAAGATCAATCCAGCAAGACCACCGGGGATCCATCGAAGACCGGAGATCAATCCAGCAAGACCACTGGGGATCAGAAGGAGAGCACCAATGCTCAGGCATCAACGTCGTCGAGTCCCGTATCTCCAGGAACGATCGTGGTGGATCCGGAGGAGTTACCCAAGCATCACAGTCGGAAGGCATCGAGGCCCAACGACCAGATCGTGGAGGACCTGGAGAACGAGTTGTGACGGTCTCCTCCCCCAATGAGTCTAACTTTGTCACTCTGCAGAATGCCCCTGAGGTTGAGGACCTGGCTCTGAACCTGACGACGCAGAAGGCCTTCGACTACCAGTCCATGGAGCGTTTGATCAGCCAGATGCAGCCCAACTCGTTCCGTGGAGGACGGCAGGCCACCGTGAAGGAGCGCAAGGGTGGGTTCTCCATTGTCTTCGGGTTGTACGCTCATGGCTCCTACTATGGATGCACACGTGATTCAGAGCGATACCCTGCGGTGTGCCGTTACCTGAATGAGTGTGTCCGACGACTACGGCCAGACTCAAGTTTTCATTGGACCTCCCTGGCGCTGATGGTCAACATGAGGGGAGCAATGCACCTGGATGCCCACAATGAGGCTTCTTCGAGCAATCTGGCAGTGGGTCTGGGACCTTATGGAGGAGGAGAGCTTTGGGTCGAACTCCGTGATGGTGATCCTTCCGACCCTGCTCTTCCCCTCTCTTGGCGCGAGGTTCCTGGTGGGAAACGAGTCCCGGGGCAAGTCCATGCTACGAGGCATCACCCAACGGTGTTTTCTCCGAAACGCTACCATAAGACCTTGCCCTGGACAGGAACCCGCTACACGGTGATTGCCTATACGGCCCGAAGTTGGCCAGAGGCTCGGAGGGACCAACGACTACAGGAGACTCTCCAGAGCCTCTCCTTTGTGGTCCCAAGTCCCACTCCCTCTACTACAAGTGCAACGAGGTCGGAGTGCCTCCTTGCGGAGCCTGATGAGGAGTCTGGCCACGAGCTGACCGAGGAGGGTGTACTTCTTACGTTGGAGGACCGCGAGGCTATCCTCTCCACCTACGAGGACTTTGAATCAGGGCTGAAGGAGATCTTCCTGCAGTACCCCAACGAGAAGGCTACCAACGTGGTGCATTTGTGTTCACCCTGGTTGGCGCCGTTGGAAATGGAGCACGCCCTGCAACGAGAGGACTGGTCTTACCAAGTTCTCTCCCATGGAGAAGGCTGTGATCTGGCCACCAATGGAGGGTTTCATCATGCACGGGACCTCCTGACATCGTTGAAGCCAGAATGGCTTTGGTGCCATGTGCCTCGGGGCCCACCACTACTGTTTGCTGATGGAGATAATTGGCCAGACCCAAAACAGGCCAACAAGGCAAAGCGCTACCTCAAGGTGCTGAGACATGTACTTCTTCTTTCACGTGATCATGTCCTTGGAGGCGGGAAGCTGATTTGGTTCCTTCCCTCAACCAGCGCCGCCGGAAATGTTAGAGAGGTTCAGCGGTTCTGGAATCACTATGGGAAGGGCCCTGCCAATGCCGTCACCGAGGGAGTGCTCATGTTCTCCAATGTGATGGAACTATGCGACCTACCTTCACGGCAACCCTATGAAGGGATTTGGGCTACCTTGACTTCCGCCACCACCAGCACTGCGGCCCTGATGTTGGACGATGCGACCGATATGGTCCTACCCGTGGATACGAGCTGTCTGGAAACGTTGACTACTACTGAGTTGGACCGTTTGATGCACCATGTCCATCAACTACATCGTCGTTTTGGCCATCCCTCCAACCGTCTTTTCGTGAAGAACCTCATTCACCGCAACGCTGATGAAAAGGTTATTGCAGCGGCCTCTAAGTTGGAGTGTGATGAGTGTCTTGAATCTCAAATCAAGATGCCCTCTCCGGCCGTCAACCTGGACAAGTGCGAGAAGCTTTGGTCATGCTTGCAGGTTGATGGATTCCACCTGCGTTGCGGGGACGTGGTGTACCACTTCCTCTTGATGGTGGACGAGGCCAGTGGCTTTGCTGTGGTCCGGGAGATGTTCTCTCATCCTGAGGAAGACCATCGGAACATGTCCGGGCCGGAGGTGGTCCATGTGCTCCAGGAGGCCTGGTTCCAGTACTTTGGGTACCCGGACACGCTCAAGTTGGACTTGGAGGGTGCCCTGAGGAGCAAGGTCCTGAGAGAAGCGTGTGCTGATAAAGGGATCGATTTGATCCCAGCTCCCGCCGAGTATCATGAGATGATTGCCGATGTGGAAAGGGAGATCGGCTACGTGAGACAGCACTTGGAGCGCTTTCTACGTGGCGGAGCCTTTGAGAGACCGGGTCAAGCTGCTCTTGCTGCTGTGGCAGCCCATAACACGCTTGCCCGGGTCCATGGCTTTTCACCTCTTCAATGGGCTCTGGGGAGAGACATGTCTTTGGGCAATCGAGCTCATGAGGCATCCGGCGATGCTATTTCTTCGACAAGGACTACGAACTTTGCTCAGCAAGGAAATCTACGTTTGGAGGCGGAGCGATCTTTCCTTCAATATCGGGCCGACCAACTGGCCTCCCGGGCGAAGAATGCCAAGGTCCGCACCCAAGTTCGTTTCTTCCCGGGCGACATGATATTTTATCGTCGCTATAAATCGCCCGCCGATTTGCCCGCAAACTCCTGGATCGACCGTCCGCGGCTTCGGGGTGCCCGTTGGTATGGACCAGGGAGAGTCTTGGCCTGCGAGACCAAGGTGGAAGAGGGACATCGCAAACCCTCCCAGTATGTTTGGGCCATTTGCTCCGGCAGGTTGAAGAAGTTCCACAGCACTCAGTTGAGACATGCTTCCGCAAGCGAGCGCCTGACCCACGAGGCCCTCCGGGATATCACCATGCCGTGGACTTTGACTTCTTTGACTCGGTTGATGGAGAAGGGATCGTACGATGATGAGACTCGATCCCGGGCATCTCGAAACCTTCCATTTGGGAGGAAGAAACGTGGGTTTCAACGTCGTGAACCGGAGACCTCAACACGACCTCCTCCACCACCAGCGCCTGCAAGTGCGACCCGCGGGAAGGAGTCCGAGGAACTTCTGGACTTCCCCTCGGATGAGGAGATGATCCCTGATCCCTCGACAAGGAAGGCTCCTCGGCTCCAAGAATCAGAAGCTGGGTCCCATGTGTCTGAGGCCCCGCTGGACGTGAACCGTCTTCTTCACGATCCTCGCTACCTGCCTGCGGCGTCTACTACCAGGTTTCAAGAACAACGGCGCCAGCATGAGCAGGATGATCGCCCCTGGCATGTTCAACAAGGCGACCTTCTCTACACCGCGGAGGAGACGGAGTCCGGGATTTATTCGGTGATCCTGGACATGCCCGCCAACGACAGAGAGTGGAAGAAGGTCCTCAAGGATCCTCGCAAATTCCTGGCGAAATCGGTCCAGAAGGGGGTGGAAGTCAGCTGGCACCGCCTGGATGATGTTCAACGTGCAGCCATGACGGAGGCCAAGAAGGCTGAAGTGGATTCATGGATATCCAACAAAGTGGTGAAGGCGGCCCTTCCCCACATCACGCGGGACCAAGCGCTTCGCATGAGGTGGATCTACACCTTCAAGGCGGCAGAACCGGGCAAGGTGAAGGCGAAGGCGCGTATGGTTATCCTGGGATATAGTGACCCGTCATTGTTGGACCAGGAGACCTCGTCACCAGCAATGTCTCGCCAGAGCAAGATGCTTTTCTTCAACTACGCGACGGCCCGCCGTTGGAGAGTGCTGGCGGGGGATGTGAAAACCGCCTTCTTGCAGGCGAAGGCCCCAGACCGACGCCATCCTCTTCATGCTCAACCTCTTCCGGAGTTGGCAGCAGCCATGAACTTGTCTGAGGAGCAGATGGTGGAGCTCTTGGGCTCAGCTTATGGTTTGACTTCAGCGCCCCGAGAATGGTTTCAGGACCTCACCTCTACTTTGCGGAAGCTACAAGCTGTGCCCTGCTTGTCAGACCCCTGCATTTGGCGGCTCTTCGATGCTTCGGGCCAGAAGGTTGTGGGGCTCATTGGACTCTACGTCGACGACATCCTCTTCTGCGGGGATGAGGCCTGTGACCTTTACTGCAGCTTCCTCCACGACTCCTATGCGTGGAGTCCCTGGGAAAGTGACAATTTCAGTCATTGTGGGGTCAGAGTGCAACAGTTTGCTGATGCTAGCATCTTGTTGGACCACTCTGAGTATTGTGCAGAGTTGGTTCAAATGCCTGCACGTGCTAAAGGAGATGATGGCGAGCTCACTCCACAAGAAACCTCGCAGGCACGAGCCATCCTCGGCTCGATCCAATGGAGGGCTTCCCAGACGGCACCGCAGCATAGTGCTAAGGTGTCCTACTTGTTGTCAATGTTGGCAACAAGGCGCGGGGAAGTAGTGGACATGGTGAACAAGCTTGTTCGCGAGGTTCACTCGTCGCGCCACACCTCAGTGAGAATCCAGCAGCTGGAGTGCGACCCCTCGCAGATGATCATGATCGGCTGGAGCGACGCTGCTGTCGCGAATAGGCCGGACCTCAAGTCGACAGGAGGACACCTGTTCGGCCTCATGAATCCCGAGGAGTTCAAGAGGGGGCACGGCAAGATAAATGCCATTACGTGGAAGAGTGGCAAACTCCAGCGTGTAGCACGAAGCAGCTTGTCCGCGGAGACCCAAGCCCTCGCTGATCTCGACGGCGACCTGATGTTCGCACGCATGACTTGGGCAGAAATGAATGGTGCCCAAGGCGAACTGAAGGACAAGGAGGACTGGATCCGCTCTGTTCCGGCCACCATGGTCATTGATGCCAGAGCCCTTTACGACTCCCTCGAGCGCGGCGACTTGACGATTTCCAACATGAAAGACAAGTTTTCAGCGTTGGAGACCCTGGCTCTGGCACAAAGTATGACCTCCCTTGGCACCCAGCTGCAGTGGACGGACAGCGACCATCAGCTGGCAGACGGACTGACAAAAATCCAGAAGCAGGACACCCTAAAACGCTTTCTGAGCAGCGGGTGTTGGAAACTTCGCCACCCAGGTGCTTTTATGAGTGCCAAGAAGCGCCGGGCCTTGGAGGCCATGAATTCTTCTTTTGAGCTGGAGGAAGATCGCTAAAGCAGTGATCTTACGGCAACATCCTTCGGGGCATGTCAGAGAGGCTGCCTCAACTGTAA